ATTAGGAGCACCGAGGTGGGTGAGATGGTTACCTCGCGCACCCGTGTGCTTCTTCCCTTCTAGGGCATAGTTTAAAAAAAGCTAAAGAGGAAGCATGAATGATAGCGCTACTGATAGCGTTCATCCAGCACAAATATCGATTCGAGCCAAGCAATCATTGCAAAGCTCTCTCCTGAACTGGAGCAACACCGTAGATGTGCAAGAAAACTGTATCGCATGTAGTGGAAACTCAGAACTCGGTTATCATTGGGTACTTACAGGGCTCATTACATGTAGTAATACAATATGATACCAGTTGATACTTGTAGTGACTAACGACTTTCTGTCGCTCGTTCGTCACTGCGAGATGTGATATAGAAGAAAATTACGTGGTCCTTCCAGAATTATGTGTATGCGGGAATATCTGGGAATCTCATTTGCCAAACTGATCCCAGAACATGTTTGTTTCCGCGTGTGCAGTGGAAAAAGAGCCAATTACAGTAGTTTCAAATGTATACTCAATCAGTGTTCCACCATATGTAGTAATGATAAAGTTGAAATTATAAACAATCAAGAAATCCAGTAACATATTTCAGATTAATAGCGATGTGACTGATGAGACTACACCAACACGGAAGCCTGTAAAAAAGGAAAGAGAACAACCACGAAAGGAACAAAATAAATGATATTCATTGAATAAACTGCATATTAAAATGTACTACTGCCTTATGTCCCTTCAGTGGCAAAATCATGAACTGGAACCTTGATCTACCAGACTTAATGGCACGGTTCACGATAATTTTGGGTTATTCATTATTTGTACGAGTAAGAGGAGTCCAGAGGAGTGGGTAAGTGGAGAAGAAAACGCGAAAATTAGCATATTCAGAAAAGTATGGGGCCCAAAAAAGTAAAATTAGGGCTTGGACGAGAATGTTACGAAAAAAACTGCATGGAAGATATATATAGACGAGCTGTACGAACGGTCCCTTACATACAGCCGGCTGCAGCAAGCTGCCTTAGTGCAAGATGTGGGTCCCGGTGCGAACCGTGCCAGATCTACTGCTTCCACAACGCTTAACAACTCGCCCGCCATGGGTGCTTGTTGGATAGGCTGGTTTTGAACCTTTTTCTTCTTGAGCTGTGCCTTTATCCTGAAAAATAAAAAGCAAAAGCTCGCCTGAAAACTTATGGGAAACATTTCACAAAAGAATGAAATAGTGGGGCACCCATAAGTTCCTATTTCAAGTAATTCTGTACTGCATGTAACTATCGGCAAAAAAAAATATGTTCGAAACAGTTACAACCAGCCTTCATTCTTCACCCGGAAGTGGCAAGTAGCTCGCTATCACACAAGCATCCTTACTATATATAAAGCGCTCGCGTCTGTCTGTCTGTCTGTTTGTTTGTTTATTTGCACGGAAATTCATAACTCCTGTCCCCGAGGACATAGAATGTTCAAATTAGGTAGGAGCACAGGCGGCAGGATGGGAACACATATGGTGGGTGGTAGAACCGGACTCCGCCCCACAAGGGGCGGGGTTTGTGCGCAATAAATGCTTCAGCGGAAAATCATAACTCCTGTCTCCGTAGACCTAGAGCGCTCAAATTTGGCAGGATTATTGCAGGCAGGATGAGAACATTTATGGCGGGTAGCAGGACCGGACCGTGTCTAGAGGGAGCGGGATTTGCGCCAAAATTATTAGTCTGGCCCTATTGCCTTCAAACTTGGCTGGAGTATAGGCTAAGGGATGGGAACAC